GGAGAATTTATGTCCCAAATAGTATTGAATTTTCAACCAAAGCGTGGGCCTGTAGAAAGATAAAGAAAAATGCGAGAAAATATACAACAATAACAGGAATCGCAGTTGAAGAAAAATTAATCCATGAGGAGCTTGATCTGTCTGTAGAAGAGTGTAATCAGATGATAAAGCATCATAGTTGTAGCTTCGGCATTCTTAAGGATAATAATAAGCTTTGGCAAACTGAAAATAAAATTGATTTAACTCCTAGGATGTGGTTTATGGGTTCATTCTCTTGGAAAAATATCTCGAGTGAAAACTGTTTCCTATTCGAGAGCAGAATTGATTCGCATTTCGGTGCACAAGAGGTTGTAACGCCGCTAGGATTAACTAGGGACTGTCCTTATACTAAGGGTAATTGTATATTGGAAGATAAAACTGTTTTAATTTGGGAAGTGGACAATCAAAGGAAATGCAATTTTATTCCCATTGGTGAAAAAGAAGGTAGATGTATGGGTCCGATTTGGCTATCTGACGATGGTCGGCTTGGATTAACGTTTGAAAATGAAACATTCATTCATGATTGTGGAAAAAACATTTCGGTCTCTGATCAAGGTTTAGGATCGGTAATAATTTCAACTTCGGAACTTACTAGAAGGAAGCGAAATACAGAAAGGGCGTATAAACGCACATTTTCTGACGGACTTGTAACCTCTTCGCAGTTAGCGTCTCAGCTCACTTATTTAGATTCAGCTCTTACTAAGGCTGTTAATTTTGCGTTCGCGCAATCAATTAGGTCATTTTGTGAATTTACTGAAATGGTAAAGCACTGGGTAGAATCTACTTACATGTCTGATCCAACTGACCTGGCTCGCTCACTCTTTTCCAATTCTTATTTAGTTGCAAAGAAGTCCGCCAGGTCTTTAATGAAAGTTTGGCCTTGTGTACCTCTAGAAAAGGAAGACTATGAATTTTCTCCTACTAAATTAGACCAATGTTTTAAATTCTTACCAATTATTTTAAAAACTGAAAGCAAAGAGCATCTAGCTTTTGTTGATCCGGAAACAATGATTGTTTCCCCAACATCTAAAAAGGGTCCCTGTGAAGAGTTTAGGAACATAATTATTCAAGTTAATGATCAAATCCTAGAAGTTGATCAAATTGAAGGAAGAATTACTTCGGTAAAACCAAGGATATTTTTATGGCCTGAAGCCAAATTTAATTTTACTAATATGATTCCAAATATTGAATCACATGCGTTTCATCAACTAGTTTTATTGAACATGACAGACATTAAAAATCATGCATTTGTAAGTAATTTAATAAAAGTAAGTCAAATGACTTACCAAATCCACGAAAAAGATTCTATTGTATCAATGTCTATGTCCAATGAGTGGCAGGAAATTGAAAATCAAATTGAAAAGGGAATAATAGGGGACTATAAAAGCATTTGGGAAACCATTGTCTCAATTTTAGTAGTAATTTTAGCACTAGACTTTGGAATAAGGTTCGCAATGATTATTGCTGAAATGTATGCTGGAAATGGACGCCTAGGTAGACTAATATTTGGCCCTGAAACACCAAAAGCTCCGATTCCACAGAGAAGATTGGACATTCAACGTGTACCAGAACCCATTGTAGAATTAGATAACATTTATGAAGAACCGGTAAATAGGCCACTGTCAATCTCTTGGCCTCCATCAATAAGGAATACAGTAAATGCTAACACTTTACCAAGAAGCACCATAAGCACAAGACCTAGGTCAACTTTAGGAATTAATAGAACTAGTGGATTTATAGGAACGCTGGGAGCGAGTGCTAACACAGTAATAGTTGATGTCTCCTTAAATACCGTACCTGTAAAATGTTTAATAGACACTGGAGCAATCACCTCAGTAGCTAACATTGCTTTAGCAGAGTGGTTGGGCACAAAAATTTTTCGAACTGAAACGTACCTCCAAAGTGCTTCCGAACATTCTATGTGTGCAAAGCAAGCTACTAGGGTCCAATTAAACATTGCTGGAGTGGTAGTAGAAATAGTGGTCCATCTCTTTAATGATAAGTTCCACTGGGATAACCATGATTATCATTTTATTATGGGGTGCGATGCACTAGCGCAGTTGCCTCCTTTTATTGTGGATTTGAAAAATAAAATGTTCTGTATAGAAGGAAATCAAATATGCATTGAAAATAGAATAAATAGGCCTCTAAGGAATCTCAAAATACACGCATTAGAGACTTGTGAAATAAGACCCAATGAGCAAAGTGTAATAAAAGCTAAAATTAATTTCCCTGAATTGCTTAGGCATAATATCTGGATTCACTCAATGGATGATAGACTTGAAGAAGAAGGTATAAGTTTTGTTCCAGTAGTAACCAATCCAAAGGATGGTGTAGTGCAAATTATTTTAGCCAATCCAACAGGCACAACTAAAAGATTATTTAAGGGAAGGACCTTAGGGCTAGCAAGTGAAGTACTAAAAACTGAATCTGAAAATATTTTAGCAGAAACTAACTTTAGTGAGGAAACACAGGAAATATTTTCTCTAGGGAAGTCAGGGGTGACTATTGATCAAACTTTCAAGATTGACTTCGAAAAAGCCACTGTAAAGGGTGAAGACCTTAATAAATTAAAAGAACTTTGTAATGAGTTTGAAGATATATTTAGTAAAAGCCAGTATGACATAGGGAGTTGCACAGCAGGCGAGCACGATATAATCACAACATCTGAAGAACCAGTTGCCTCTAGGCCTCATCGGGTTCCGTTTAAGTATCGAGATGAGTTGCAAAAGCATATCGACCAGCTATTGGCCTCAGGGGTGATGGTTGAGTCTGATACCCCTTGGGTTTCGAACATAGTTTTAGTTCAGAAAAAGGATGGTGGGCTTAGGCCATGCATTGATTTTAGAAAATTAAATGAAGTGACAGTACCTGATCACTTTCCTCTCCCAAGACTTGAAACAATTTTAGAAAAAGTCGGTAATTGCAGATATTATTCATCGCTTGACCTTGCTAGCGGGTATTTGCAAATTAAGCTTAGTGAAAGAGCCTCAAGAAAATGTGGTGTAATTACTGAGGATAAAATTTATCAAATGATAAATCTACCATTTGGACTCAAAAATGCTACTAGTGCGTTCGCGCGAATAATGGCTCATGTACTTACTGGACTTGAAAATGTCATTGCTTATGTTGATGATATATTAATTTTTACAAAGTCTGAAAGTTTTGATGAGCATATTAAAGCCCTCAGAAGTGTCTTTGAAAGATTCAGGCGCTTCAATTTAAAATTAAGTCCCAAAAAGTGCACCTTTGCTTCGGCAAGCATGGAGTTTCTTGGTTTTATTGTAAATGAAGCTGGCTATACACCTAGCTTAAGAAAAACTGAAACTATTTTGAATTTAAAGGAACCAACCTCGGTGAAGGAGGTCAGGCACGTAGTAGGGATGGCGAATTTCTTTAGGAAGCATGTACAAAATTTTTCTATGATTGTTGAGCCATTAACCAGGTTAACAAGAAAAGAAAAGCCATTTATTTGGGGCGAAGAGCAGCAGGAAGCTTTTAATAAAGTAAAGAAAATTTTGTCGGAGAAACCTGTTTTAATTTTTCCGGATTATTCTAAGCCATTTCATATATTTTGCGATGCCTCCCAAGTCGGACAAGGGGGTGCCCTTATGCAATGGGATGAAGAAAAGAAGGCCTATGGAGTAATTTGTTACTGTAGTCGCACTTTATCACACGCTGAAAGAAACTGGCCTCCAGTTCAAATTGAACTTGGAGCTATAATTTTTGCACTTCGGCAGTTTAAACCGTTTATTTTTATGTCTAGTATTGAGCTTCATACTGACCATAAGCCTTTAGCATTTCTTTTAAAGAAAGCTGAGACGCACCAACATTTAGCTAGGTGGCTTGTTGAACTGCAAAATTATAACATTAATATAGTTCATATTGCGGGTAAACAAAATACCTTAGCAGATGCCCTGTCCAGGATTCCACACGAAGACTTAAGCCCTGAAGAAGTTGATAAGATTCAAGAATTAGAAGATATAGCTGAATTTCCTGTGTGTTTAGCAATTGAGAGCAAGCCTAGGGTAGTCCATGAATGTTTTGGTGGGTTAACTTTATCACTAAGGTCTATGGAAGGGGAAGTACACCAGATAGATATAAAAGCTGAACAAATGGAAGACCCCGAAGCTGAAATTTTAATTAAATTTTTGAAAACTGGGAAATTTTCTGAAGAGTTAAGTGAGGAAGAGAAAGACTCTTACACTAAATTAGCTAAAGATTTATGTTTAGAAAGTGATATTTTATACCATCATTATAAAGATGCAAAGCCGCGAATTTACATACCCATTTCTTTAAGAGCCATGATTTTTGACTCGTTTCACACAACCAAGTTAGGTGGAGGTCATATGGATTTTAGTAAGACCTTGAAAAAATGTAAAAAATATTTTTGGCCAAGAATGCATTCAGACATTATGACTTGGCATAAACAATGCATCACATGTCAGCTTAGGCATTCTCCAAATCCGCCTTATAGGGCAGAGATGTGTACACCACCTGTAAACACACTATTTGCCAAAGTCGGTCTTGACTTAGCGGGTCCTTTTCCGAAAACCCAAATTGGTAACAAACATATTTTGAACATTGTGTGTTGGTTCACGAAATTTGTTATATCTGTTCCAATCCCAGACGCAAAAGCCTCAACCATTGCTTCGGCATTTCTCAGGAATTGTTATTTACGCTTCGGCGGTTGCACGGAATTAATTACTGATAATGCTTCGGCATTTACTTCAGAGTTTTTCAAAAGTCTTTGTGCAATGTTGTATATTAATAAAACTTATGCCATACCTCACTGGAGCCAAGGCAATGCAGTGACTGAAAGGTCATTCAGAACTTTCCATAATATTCTTGCAAAGTATATTACCAAAGACCAGCCAGATTTCGATGAACATCTGGAATTCGCCAACTTTTGTTATAACACATCGGTCCACCAGTCAACAAATGAAACACCGTTTTTCCTGATGTACGGCAGAGATCCCATCTTTTGCGTTGATTTAATTCTTGATCCCAAAGTTAGAGATCCTGTAGCATTGAATGACGAACAAGAAATTAAACAAAAATTGATAGTTTCGCTACGAAGTGCTTGGAAATATGCAGCAGAAGCCAATTTTGAGGCACAGCAAAGGTCAAAAACATATTATGATAGACTTATTAGGAATCCCACTGTAACAATTGGAGATAGAGTTCTTCTTCGGAATTATACTGGTAAAATAGGCTCATCCAAAAAGTTTCATCTCCCTTGGAAAGGCGTCTTTAGAGTGATTGAAATTAATGGGGTTCATGTAACCATATCCAGTTGTAACTCACCTCAGTCTAACCCAAGAATCGTTCACATTAATCAGTTAAAGAAGTGTATAGAACCACTCCCGACTGAACCAGTTTGCACAACTCCTAGGTTAGAGGCAGAAGAGTTGGAAGCGTTAGAAGAATCTGGTGCAGAGGAAATAGTTAACATGCCTGGATTCTCGCACAGTAAAGTAGCTGAACCAAATTTAGAGGTAGCAGAAGGTAGTCAGGTTGAAGTAGTAGGTCGCCAGGGACTAAGTAGATATAATTTAAGAAAAAGTCCAAAACAGAAAATACTTATAATTGCTTCGGCTATCAAATGGATTTAAAATTTAAATTAACTTAAAAAAAAATATTATATAAATATAAAAAAAATAATAAATAAATAAAAAGTATAATAAAATTAAAAATTATAATATAAATAAAACATAAATTACTTTAAATTAAATTAAATAAACTAAATCAAAACAAACAATACAATAAAGTAATTAAAATAAAAATTTAAATTAAATAAAACAAAAAAAAAAATTTTTTTTTTTCCTCTAAATATTTGTTTTCACTAAATTAGTTGTTTGAATTAAAATTTTTTAGTAATGAAATCTCCCATCATCAAAAAAGCTCTTGATGGCACTGACTTAGCGTTGTTTTTCACTAAAGTTTTCGTATTCTCTAATCACTTCAATTGTCTATTTACAATCGATGGAATTGATTTCTGTTGTACGGAACAGTACTATATGTTCTACAAAGCTATTTTGTTTAATGATTTTGAGTCAGCACAATCAATTCTCTCCACCAAAAATGCAGCTTTAATAAAACGAATAGGCTCACGAATTCGAAATTTTGATCATTATAAATGGAGACGTGTTTCTATTCTAATTATGGCCATAGCTAATTGGTTCAAATATCGTCAAAACCCGGATTTACGAAAATTGCTATTCCAAACTGGACAATCTCTTTTGGTCGAAGCGACCTCCCGTGATCTATACTGGGGATGCGGTGTCGACATTTCTTCGCCTAGGATTGTTGAGAAGAATAGATGGCCTGGAAAGAATGTATTGGGCATCATTCTGACCGATATTCGAACGAGGCTTCTTAGTTAGTAGTTTAAGTATTTATAATCACTAGGGAACGGATTTATATGGATTTCCATATTTTTTTTTCTCCCTGGCCTAGTTGGGTTCTGAAACGCCCAAAAAAAAACATAGTTTTAGCATATGTTGATAAGACCAATAATGAGTTATCAATCCATATTTTCCATATTTTTGCATATTTTGGCGTTCCTTCCATATTTTCCATATTTCGTCCATATTTCGTCATTTTCTGTTAAATTTTGCCAAAAAATTGGTCAAAACTTTCAAATTTATGAATTTTTTATGAGCAAAAAAAATATTTTTTTTTTGAAAATTTTTTTTTTGAAAAATTTGTTTTTTTTTCTCTCAAAATTTTTTTTTCTCCACGAAATTTTTCACAAAATTTTCGCCTCAAACATTATCCAAAATATTTTTAGAAACAAAATAATCACTATAAATTGATTTATTTGTAAAATTAAGATCAAAATTAGCTTAATAAACATTTTGCTGTTTAAAAATGGAAATTTTGCGATAAAAATTTTGAATTTTCGGCCCATATTTGATCCATATTTTGGATTTTAGTCCATATTTCAGTCCATATTTTGAGATTTTTAGTCCATATTATATGTCCATATTTTTCGATTGATAGTCCATATAAATCCGTTCCCTAATAATCACCTAACTATAAATAAATTGAATAAACCTGATAAATTCTAAAATTGAATTAAAATTAATGAAAAATAAATAGTGTTTTAAAATCTAATTCAACAAATTTAGGAATTGAAATGGAAAAGCAGCAACAAATTCTGGATCTGAATAACTTTGTAGATTTTCCCCCACTCTCGTCCACAAAGAAGGCCCCCACTCCTCCCAAATCGTCAAAGTCCACCGGGGAAAAGGCTCCTTTACCCGCCAACAAGTCCGCCGCTGCCTCTTCTTCAACTGTAAATAGTCCTCCAAATTGTCCTCCACCCTCGTCTTCGAAAAATGTCGATGAACTTACCGAGTCCACAAGCAACATGAGCATTAGTAGTGGTTCGCCACATAAAAGGATTATAAATGAAATGGAAATAGATGGACAGGTAGTCTATGAAAATGTGCTTCGGCAGGAAAAAGGATCTGAAAAGAAGGATGAGGAAAAGCAGGTAGTAGGCTACCTGGTTTGTCAGGTCGAGGAAAATTCTGTCGTCGGAGTACGACTTCGTCCTCAGGCACACAAGAAGTGGCCCCACTTCGTTACGCTAAAAAATGATTTTGTTGAGAAATGTGATGGGTTTGTAAATAAGGTCCAGCTTGGAGATTCAGTCTGGGTCACTGATGTTGAGTGGAAAGAAGATTATAGAGACTTATCTCGAAGTGAAGGGGATAAAAGCAGAAAATGCTGGTATGTCGGGAAGATCAACACAAACGCAGTTGTCACGGGTGCTCGTCTTGTTGTTTACGCAGAAAGATCTGTGCACCCTGGAATTGTGATAAAATTTAAAGAAAAAAGAGGCATACGAAATTGCTGTATGATTATTTCTCCGGGTCTTCAAATTGCGTCCCGATGCTATCGTCGTCAGCTCGTTGATTTGAATTTGGATGAAATCGAGGTGGGTCAGCTTGTTAATGTTTCAGTCGCAAGTCTTTCTGAGGATTGCATTGTTGATGAATCATATGTCCTCCCAGCACAAACTGAATACAAATTTGGCTATGAAGAGTTCATCGTACAGGGTAAAGGAGTCTTAGGAAGTGTAGAGTCTCATCGGCCTTGGCCATACATCAGGAATAACCAAAACGTTTTCTATCCACTGCTACCAGAAATGTCGAATGATGAAATTCGGCTCTCTGAAAGTCTCATGGGTGCTGCAATAGGTTACTCATTTGAGGATGAAAAGAAAAAAATGATTGAGAATAGATTTGAAGGCGTTCCAATTTTCATTGATAATCGTTTCCAACTCTGGTTTAAAGAGATTGATAATATTAGAGTCAGACACTTAAAGGATACTTGGAATGAATCGGACCAAGTAGTCTTAAAGTCTGCGATGCACCTTCCCCATTTTGCAATTGGAGTCGTTAAAAAGATCAATCTCTCACAAGTTCCATCCTTTGGCAATAAAAAGTTTGATTTGTGGATAAGTGTGAAGGTAATTAATGTTCAAGAGCGGAAAAATAGAGATGTAGAACAAGAGCTTGAAGATGCCAAGGATGGAGGGTTTCTTGTTTGTCATCCTTTAATATTCAAAGGTCTTGAAAGTCGACGTGAATGTTTTGAACAGAACTTACCGTCGATGTTGTCAGCCCAAAGTACAAACCAAGGTAAACTCCTCCGTGCCCTGATGGCTCGTGAATTTGAAACAGATTTTGAAGAAGAATCTAATGCTTCGGCAGTCCTCAGTGTTCACCCATTAATGAATATGTTAAATGAGAAACAGCAGAAGACCGCTAAAATTCTTTTGGAAGATGGATGCAAATTCGTCTTTCAACAGGCTCCGCCTGGAGTTGGAAAAACCCACGTGGCTTCAGTTGTTATTGCACTGATGCTTTCCATTTTAAACAATGTGAAGGTAGCAGTTGTAACAGCAGCTAATTTGCCTCTGGCAAAGTTAGCCAAGGAGTTGGAGGAGGTCCTCGGACGTCCTGCGATGGAGGATTCCAACGCAATAGCTTTCTTTTCTGGCTATGCGAAGGAAAAATATTTTGGTATGATTGATGAGCTGAAACAGCACATGTTGGTCACTAAGTTGAAAACTGATCAAGTTCTTGATCATGTTACCAAAGATGACCTCCGGGAAATCAATGACTATTGCACGAACTACGAATTAAGGCCTCGGCTAACAAAAGAGCGTAGAATGGGATCTCTGATCTCAGAAGTCTCTGACTTGAGAATTGTCTTTGGAACATCCCGAATGGCTGAAGACATGGTAGCTACTTCGCTCACTGATGCGACTGTCCTCATTTTTGACGAAGCCACGCAAGGTAGTTTTACTGAGCTGGCACATCTAATCTGTCGACTCCCAAATCTTGAAAAAGTGCTCGTGACGGGCGACCGTCATCAACTCGGCGTTCATCTCCAGAGCTTGCCCAAATGCCTCCAATCAGGTTTCGGCCTGGAGAGCATGGTTGAACAACTAGTGTTGTCAAATCTGGTTAGACACACTAGGTTGAGCGTCTGCTATAGGATGCACCCATTGATTGTAGAAGCGGTCTCATTCGCTTCTTACGAAAGACATGGTGAGTCCCTTGAACCCGGAAGAGGTGCCGAAGAGCGTTCGCTTCTTACGACCTCTAAATTTCCACTTCCCATGCAAAATTGTCCCATTGTTCTACTTAATGTTATTGGAACTTGTAGACAGGACAATACTTCTCACTCTTTATGTAATGATGAGCATTCGGCTTCGGCCATTAAATTGATTTCTGCGTTGTTCGACAAAATTTCCACCGAGATTTCTCTGGTTGTTATTTGTTTATATACTTTTCAGAAAGAGTCTCTCCAGAAAGAGTTTGAGAATTTGAATTGGAATGTGTTAGTTGTCACAGTAGATGGGTATCAAGCCCAAGAAGCTGATCTTGTCATACTTGTAACAACTAGGTCTTCGAGTAGAGCTGATGGCCTTGGAGACTTTTCGGAGTTTCTCAAGGATGACAATCGAGCCACGGTAGCGTTGAGTCGTGCTAAGCACGGTCTCTTCGTTATAGCGGACTTTGAAACACTTCGATGTGGAATTGTCTGGAATCGGTTCATCTGTCGTGCAACTGAGTTCACTCAAATTGTCGGTCCGGAATATCTGCAAGTCCTCCAGTCGGGTAGTTGTATGCGTGATAGATTCGGTCAATTGTTGTCTTCGTCGGGTAGAATGGTCGCTGACTTTGTGGACGAGCAGTATCCCCAACAGCAACAACAACAGCCTTCAACTTCTTCACATGGTTTCGGCCGCACTTATGGTTCAACTAATGTCTGGAGCAGAAATGATAGGAATTCTAGGGATAATGAGTGGTTTGAAAACTTAAATTTTAATAAAAATAATATAAATACTAATATTTCAAATTACAGGAAGCGACCAGCTGAACAGAATTGGAAAGAATATGCTAATACAACATTTGAGAGGAGCAGGACCATTACTTGTTTCAATTGTGGACGAAATGGGCACATGGCGCGACAGTGTAATTGGAATACTTGGAGGAAAAATGAGAGTTGGCGTGGTGGCAGAGGAAAATATTAATTTTTTAAAATTAATTTAATATTTTTTTTTGTATTTTAAACATACATTTTCATCTCCTTTTAATTTATTTTATCTGAATTTTTATTTATTATATAATGTTACTTTTAAACTTTCCCCATTATTTGTTTGGTTCAAGTACCCTTAAATTTTTTTAACATGCCTTACATTTAATTTCACATTCCTTCATTTCATATAAGATTATTAATTCAAATTTAATCACAATCACTTATTTTTATATTTTGGAATGCCAATCAATAATTAATTTTCTAAATTCTCATACCCTTTTCCATTATATATACTTAATTTCTTTATGCCAATTTGTATCCACTTATAATTACATTTTGTCATTTTTTTACAAAATTTTTACCCTCACTTATTTACATTTTACAATTATACTTTTAAGCTTAACTCTCACTAATTACATTAAATTTAATACATTTATTAGTTTCATATTTTAAATGTTTAAATTCTCAAATTTCACTTAATTTGTTACAAATTTATACAATCGTATTTATAAGACTTACAATTGATTTATTCCCCCACAAATTATTTACATTTACTTTATTAATTTTTAAAGTCTTTCACAATTACATTTAAGAATGTCCCAAAATTCTTTTTTTGTTAAATTATTATTTACATCTTAATGTCATACATTTCTCAATTTCAGGAATTGTTATTTTTACAAAACTTTTTCAACATATTTTTAAAATATATCCAATTTTATCCACAAATCAAATGTTATTTAAGTCAGAACTCTGACATTAATTTTAAATGTTTATTCAAAAGCCTTAAAATTTTTTTTTTCATTAACCTTTCAATCAAACCATTTATACCCAGGTTTATTTTGTACATTAATTTTAGAAAATTTCTTGTCTAATTCTCTAAAAAACTTTTCTATTACAAGTTTTATTCCACTCATTTATAATCAATTTTGTATTTTCAAACACTTCGGTAGTTTTCTGGTTTTTTTTAAATTTTATTTCACACTATTGATTCACGAATTTTACTTTTATTCAACACGTTACCCACTTAATTTTTATATATACTTTCACAAAAATATTTCAATGTCCCAATTTATCCTTATTTTCTATATTTTGAAATTTATATGCATTTAAATCATACCCACATTTTTAAAAAAAAAGGAAACATACTCACCCGAAACCTGAAGAAATTTTAGAAACACAACCCCAACTAGACTAAACAGACTCGAAAACATACAATTACAATTATATCAAACCCCACTACTTGATAATGACCAAGAGAAATTTTTCATGAAATAATCGATAAGCGCTAGAAAATGGACCAGGGTCGGTCCAAAAATGGGAAAAGGAGAGAATGCTCGAAGAGCACAGAAAAATGAGATGAGAAGAAAACTTAATTTAGGTTCGCCTACTCACCAGAGTGCTTATCGATTGAGAAAATAAATGTGAATGGTCATTATTTAAGTAGATTGGGAAACGATGAAAAATTAAATTTTGAAAAATAAAATAAAGTCTGTTGAGTCTAGATTAAGACCAGGGACGGTCTTGATGGGGAAGGGACGTGTAAGGGACAAAGGTATTTTCGGAGTTTGTTTCCTAATGTTTATATCCATTTTGTCGTTTATAATTCCATCCCACTTTTCTCACGTTTAAAAGGATTTGTAATCACCTTATTATTGTCTTATTGTTCTTTCACTTTAATAAAAGAATTAAATAAATGTTTTAATATTTGGATTCAATAAATAAATATATTTTGTGTTCAATTGTGTATGCCTGGTGAAGGGGATCAACAGAGGGCCTGATCAACCCTTAAGTTTATCCTAGGAAGTCCCGGGCATATTCCCTCCCGTATTCCATTATCTGGGGTTTGGGCCCACCACATTGGTACTATCTGATTCCGGGGGTCCCTCCTCTATTTTATGTACGAAATTGGAAGTGAAATTGTTTGTTTAATTTTGAATATTAAATAATTTAAATTAAATTTTAAGGAAGTTGTTGTTGATTCGGATGGGGAAACTGAAGTGGAAGACAGTCCGCGTACTAGTTGGAGGAATACTTATATGGGAAAAATAAGTAGAGGATTTTATGAAAATGATAAACAAGACTTGGAAAAGTTGAATGGGTGAGTTTTGAAATAATTGAAATATTTTGTGAAGGGGAAGAAGGGGAGAGGGAGGTTTTGCAGGATTTTGTAGGGGAAGAAGGGGAAGCCTGTCTGGGACTTTCTTATTTAATTTTTTTCCTTTTTTAGAGAAAGAGCAAATAAAGTTGATTCTGATGGAGAAAAGTTCAGCGATGATAAGGATTCTGGAACAAAAACTGAAGTAGATGACCAAGATGTTGCAACAGGAAGGGAAATGGAAAAAGGAGTTGAAACAGCAAAAGGTGTAGATACGGCAAAAATTGTTGATTTGAAAGAAGAAAGTAAAGAAGTAATTGTTGAAGAGAAGAAAGAAGAAACGAAAAAAGTAATGGATGAGCAAAGTAATTATGACACAAAAATAAGTAGTGAAGAACAGAGTACAGAAAGTACTGCTACTAAAAGAAGTGAAGAACAAAGTACTGATACACGAACAATTACTTTAGATCAGAGTAGTGAGGAAACGACAGAAGAGGAAGTTAACGATAATAATGATAAGGAAAGTAAAGAAGTAATAGGTGTGGATGAACAAAGTAATTATGATACAAATAATAAAAAATAATTATATTTGTTTTTGTTGTATATGTTTTATAAATTATTTGGAAAATTAATTAGTGTTCTTTTTTACCCCAAATATTTTAAATCCAATAATTAATTTTACAAATATATTTTTAATTACAAAAAATATTCAAATAAATAAATTTAAAAAAAATAAAAATTATTTTTTCCCAATATATTCTCCAAATTTCCTTCTCTCTAATTTTACATAATTCCCTTAAAAATATAAATAACTAAAAATATATTTATTTAAAATACTTACCATACATTGGACGAATTATTAATTCAGAAGCAACACGCATTTGATCTGTTCTTAATTTTGGATAAACATTGAAACGGCGAAAAATGTTGGCAACAAGGGTTTTTTCTTCCATTAAAGCAAAACGTTGACCTTTTAAAAATAAATATAAAATTAATTAAAAGTCACCCAAATTCTTTCTAAATAATTTTCATTTCGAAAGATTTTATTTTGTTTAAAAGCAACTAAAACTCCATTACCTATACAATTACGAGCTCCAGCACTAAAAGGAATATAGCAATAAGGATGTTTTAAATAGTCCCCATTCACAAAACGTTCTGGATTGAATACTTCAATTATTATAAAATTATTTTTTTTTGTAATATTTAAAACAAACTTTCAGGATTTTCCCAATAATTTGTATCTCTGTGTACCATTGAGGCAACAATAACTGCCTTAATTGTTTAATATTAAATTAATTTTAAATTTACTAAATATACTCCAGTTCCAGCAGGTAATGTAAAATCTTTTATTTTTACATCTTCTGTAAGTTGTCTAGCAATTAATGGAACACTCGGATATAACCTTTTTTAATTAAAAATAATTTTAAAAAAATTTTATTTTTAGTTTCCTGTGAAAGGAGGTTTATGTATCTAAATAAAGGAATTACTCCTTTACAATTAAAAACATTTAAAATTTACCTAAGTGTCTCTTTAAGACAAGCATCAACATATTTTAATTCAGCAAAATCATCAAAAGCAATATCTCTGTCTAGATCAGGGCCTAATACTTCATCCAGTTCTTGTTGTAATTTAGCTTGTATTGCTTGGTTATGTCCCATTGAATGAACAAACCTTTTTTTGAATTTAAAAATTTATTTTTCTCTAAAAAATATATGTGTACTAATTAATTTATTTAAAAATCTTTTAATTATTTTAACAATTTTTTCATAAATTCCCTCCTTCCTTACCAATTTAAAGCAGCAGATGTAGTATCATGTCCTTCAAAGGTAAAAGTATCAACTTCTTCTTGTATTCCCTCTAAATCAATTTCATTTCTCGAATGCATATCCAACATTAAATCTAATAAAGCTAAACGTATTCCTCCACCATCTTCTGCTTTTTTTTCTAACATTTTTTGAATTCCTCCAGCTTTGTCCATCATTTGTTTTCTTGCAAGAATTGCCTTTTAATTAAATAAAAATATTTTTTTAATGTTCTATTTTCTAAAATGCTTACATTTCCTGTAAAATCATGTAAAGCCTTTACACATCTTTAAATAAAAATAAATATTTTTATAAATTTAAAAATTAGAAAAAACTTTTTTTAACCTTTTTTGTTCCTTTCCATCACCAAATAAATTAAAAAGAATTTCCAAATAATATTGAGGGCGGATTATTCTGTCTTGAATTATTCTCTTAAAAAATATTTTTTGTATTAAATTTTAACGATGTTTTTAATTTTTGTCCATTAATAATTTTCACTTTCAATTATTTATAATTTAAATTAATCTTTAGTTTTCCTTTTTTCAAAAAAAAATTTATAATTAATTTATTTTTTTTACTTTAATTTTAAAGACAGCATTTAAATAATCAGTTTCAGTCCTTTGAGCGTCAATATTAACACCTAAAGCTGCTTCACAAATAATATCTAATGTACATAGACTAATTGTGTGAAAGATGTCATTAAAATCTTTAGAACCAATTAATTTGTCAAATTTACTGCAAAGAGTTCTTGCATGACGATTAAATATCTTTTTTTGTATTTAAATTTAAATTAATTAATTAATTTTTTAGAAATTGTGAAGAATTTATAATTTATTAATTACACTAAAAAATTATTTTAAAAAAATATTTTTTGGTAATATTTTATAAAATTCTAAAAGAAAAAAAATTTTCTTAGTAAACTAAAAATAAAAATTAAAATCTTTTTAAAACTCAAATAAAAAATTGGTTTTAGATTTTTTCCTAATATTTTCTGTTATCAAAAAAAATTTATTTTTTAATTTAAAAAAAATTTACCGGCATAAAATCTTTAAGAATATCATAATGAAATGTAGGTGTTAATAATTTCCTTCTAGGTCTCCATTTATTTGGTTTACTTATCTAATTTTATTTTTTTAAATATTTTTTTTAAAATTAATATTACCAAAAGTCCATCCCCAATCCACGCCGAAAGGAAGGAATACTGATATAATTTATGTAAAACTTTATTTGAACTCAAAATAGGTTCACTCTCTTCTGCTCCAAATATTATTACAAACGGAAGAGGGCCTAACCAAATACGTGCCATTCTAAGGCCTTTCTGTTCTCTAAACATATAACCAACACCTTGAGCTTGTTCGAAGAATTCTATTTTGAAAAAAAGTTTTTTTAATTGTATTAAATTTATAAGGTCATTCTATCCAATATTTGTCCTCTCAAAAGAGATTTAAATATTAAAGTTTATCTAGATTAACGGGATTAATCAATAAATAATTTTTAAATGAAAAATAAATGTATTTAGCAAATTCCTTCCTTTTTCCCAATATTTTTTTATCAAAAAAAAGATTATTTGGAAACTGAACAATTAAGGAATTTAAATTAATTAAGATAAATAATTTTACAAAAATAAATTTACCGTCAGGATTTAATCTAAATTGATGTAAATTCCCAATAATCGGCAATGCTGTAGGTCCTTGTATTTTATCAATAAGACATTTAACTCTTTCATATTTCCGTAAAAACCAAACAAAAAACCAAGAAAAAATTATAGTAACAATTAAAATTCCAAGAAAAGACATTAAAGATTTTTTTAAATAAATAATTTATTTAAATATATGCTAAATCAAGGTCAAATAATTTCTGCAAAATATATTGAATAAATAATTTAAAAAAAAGAAAAAGAGAATTATATTTATTTATTATTTATTAATTTCTATTAATAAATGATTGGAAAGGAATTAATGACAAACGGGATTGAAAAGTGGGAGTAAATACGTATATGTATGTATATGTAGATAGATGGCAATTTATTTGCTTTACTGGAATGCGCGTTTAAACAGAAAAATTCACTTCTCTTCTTTTTTTAATTTAAATTGTCTTGTACTTTTTTAAAAATAAATGTTTCATTTAAAATTAAATTAACTTTTTATTTGTAATAATTTTACCTCCCCGTCTGGCCCCCTCCTCCTCTTTCTTTTCTTTTTTCAAAAGATTTTAATTTTTTAAATTAGGTTTGTACATTTATTCGGTACTTTTCGGATCTTCTACTTTCCTTAAATTAATGCTAAAAATGTCCTATAGTATGAAGTAGGGTAGCTTCCCGAGCATTCGGGGTCGGCTCGGGGTTTGCCGGGGTAGAGCCTTCAGGGTTCGGATCAGGGTTTTTGCCAAAAAAATCGTCGGGGACGGGGAGCTACCCTAGTATAGAATAATAAAATATGTTGATCATGATTATACAGTTTAGAACTAAAGTGCTTTGAAATTTAAGATTTGTTAATATTCGTACTATGTACCATGTAAGGCACGAGCATCGAAGCACTGGTTATAATTAAGGTTAGAGTTTTTGCTTGTTTTATATTCTGTCTTTGTTCTTATGTTTAGTATCTCGGATTTTTTTGATACTTAAGCGTTTCGGGAACTTATCCGTTTATAGTATTTTTGTTTCTATACACAAAATAAAAAGATAAGGCTAAAATGCCCCTAAAAATTTAGTCTAAAAAAACGGCCACTAATTATGACGCGACCTAATAGAAAAGCCAAAATATTAAAATGCCTATGGACTCCAAAAACTATAAAATTAGAATTAGATATTCACAAATAAAAGTTAAAATCAAACAAAATATAAATGTAAACTACCATCAAATTTTGAAACATTAAATTAAAAGATTGGAAGAAAGGCTGTTCTCGAAAAAAATCTTATTTTTTTCAAAAAACACCAAATAAATAACTCGTCAAATTAAATTAGTGGAAAATTTAAAATCTGCGCAAACTTTTTTGGTAAATAAAAATATATTTATTTATGCTATTTAAAGATAAAATCTGATGAACAAAATATGAGAAGAAATTTATTTTGATGGTTAAGATATATATTTGTGTGTGCTTTGATCAAATAAAAATTAAAATTGAATATTTAAATAATTCTAGCTTAATTTTTATTTTAAATATATGTACAAACTAAATTGATGAATAACTAGTAAATTTAATTTTTTGCTAATTACTACTACTGCTAATATAATATTATTCACAACCGATAATTTAATTAAAACAAATATAGTATTTAAATATTTATAAATCTACAACAACCAACCAGAGGTGGGTCGGAATTCCGATTTCCGAAAAAAATTTTGATTTACGATTTCCGAGTTCCGACTTTTGAGTCAGTTCCGATTTTCGGAAGTTCCGATTCCCGACACCTCTGACTGTTCCGACCCACCTCTGCAACCAACCAAAACAAACAATATATTTACATACAAATTTATTTATTTATGTAATATAATTAGATTCAACAACCCCTTCTTCTCCTCCATTTTCATCTTCCCCACCCTCATTTGTTTCATCAATTTTTAAATCTTCACTAGTAGCCTCAGTTGTATTATCAACAATATTAGCTTCATTCATTTCCCTTTGCGTATCTTTAATATTTACATCTTTTTCTGTTGCTTTTGTAGTTTTATCTTCCTTAATTTCAACAGATTTATTATTATTTCCTCCTTCTTTCTTCTTCTTTCCTTCTTCCATTTTCTTCATTTTTGTTCCCTTTTTATCTCCTTTTTTTGCCCCCTTT